ATATATATATATATATATATATATATATATATATATATATATATATATATATATATATATATATATATATATATATATATATATATATATATATATATATATATATATATATATATATATATATATATATATATATATATATATATATATATATATATATATATATATATATATATATATATATATATATATATATATATATATATATATATATATATATATATATATTAATAAATAAAAAAAAGTTCAGGATTCCACACAATTCATTCATGTTGTCCTAACACAAATCAGTGGTTAACTTTAATGGTTAACGTTTGTGGATCAAACATAAAACAATTAAGATGTTCCAACAAATAAATAAATAAATAAATAAAATCAATCAAGAATTGTGTCTTTATTTTTTTTTTTTAGTGTAGCTACACTTCAATGCAAGTTATTAATAGATGCCTTCAAAAATAATAATAAACAACAGAAACACAGGGCTAAAATCAACTGACTAAATTAAAGAGTAGGTGACATGATATTTAAAAGTGCCAAGGTATAGTGTTGGAGTCTCTTACAACAGGTTTAAATGCATCTAATATTATGCATTTAATAGAAGTATCATTTCGCAGTTATGCTGATGCGATTTATTCCAAATCTCAATTAAAAAATTGCTCAAGTTTGCAAACCCCTCCCTTTTGTAAGCCAAATGATTGGTTAAACAAGCTGGCCAGATCTTTTTTGATTGGTTCTTTCCATATATATTCCTTGTCTGAAACTAAGCAGTGCGCTAGTATTGATCGGGGCAGGCTATGATTATGCAAATGTGTTAATTTGACCGCACTGAAGCAGTTAGCAGGCAAAAGATTCAAAAATATGATTCAGTGATTCTTTAATTTCTTTACTCTTTAATTAAATTCTTTTTTTTTTTTTTGAGAGACAATATCTTTATTTGTTTTACATGTGTAGAATGTTTACATCAAAGGACAGCTCTGTCAAAGGGATAGTTCAACCCCCCAAAAAAACTTTTATATTGGTTTCAAACCTTTGAGTTTCCTTCTTCTATTGAACACAAATGAAGATATTTTGAAGAATGTTGGAAACCTGTAACCACTGCCTTCTGTTGTATTTGTTTTAACTACTATGGAAGTCAATGGTTACAGGTTTTCAGCATTCTTCACAATATCTTCTTTTGTGTTTAACAAAAGAAAGAAATTTGGAACCACTTGAGTAAATAGTGAGATCATTTAAAATTTTGGGTGAACTATCCCTTTAATAACTCCAAACAAAATTAAATATGACCAGCTATTTAATTACGGACTAAAAAAAACAACACTTTTGAGTGTAGCAACACTTCAATGCAAGTTATTAATAGATGCCTTCAAAAAATAAATAAACAACAGAAACACAGGGCTATGATGTTTTAAAGTGTCGTGGTATAGTGTTGGGGTCTCTTACAACAGGTTTAACGCATCTAATAATACGCATTTAATATTAATAAGTTTGTAAACCCCTCCCTTCTGTAAGCCAACTGATTGGTTAAACCAGCTGGCCAAATCTGTTTTGATTGGTTCTTTCCATATCTATTCCTTGTCTGAAACAAAACAGTGCGCTAGTATTGATCGGGGCAGGCTATGATTATGCAAATGTGCAAATTTTTTTGCACTGAAGCAGTTAGCAGGCAAAAGATTAAAAAATATGATTCAGTAGTTTTTTTATTTTCTTATTATTTAATTAAATTATTTTATTTTATTTTTTTGAGAGAGAGAGAGAGAGATAGAGAGACAATATCTTTATTTTTTTTTTACATGTGTAGAATGTTTACATCGAAGGACAGCTTTAAAGGGATAGTTCAACCAAAAATTGTACACTTTTATATTGGTTTCAAACCTTTTTGAGTTTTTTTTTTTCTATTGAACACAAAGGAAGATATTTTGAAGAATGTTGGAAACCTGTAACCAATGACCTCCATTGCATTTGTTTTAGCTACTATGGAAGTCAATGGTTACAGGTTTTTAGCATTCACATTCACAATATCTTCTTTTGTGTTCAATAAAAGAAAGAAACTTGGAACCACTTAAGTAAATAGTGAGTTAATGCTAATTTTTGAGTCAACTATCCCTTTAATAACTCCAAACTAAATTAATTATGACCAGCTATTTACTTACGTATTTAAAAAAACAACACTTTTTATGCAAATATACACAAACTTTGTTTAGAATTTTACAAGCAAAGGTTTATAGCTAATAAAAATGCTAACAATATGAACATTATCACCCCATCTGGACCTGTTCTTGCATGTTCAGCAAGCGAGATCAGTCCTGCTTTAAGACAGCAGAGCTCATGCTACATTACACACATTCAGCAGTGCATATAATGATAATGCATTTGCAACCCCTCCAGTCCTACACCACCCAACCCGCACTGAGCTGGAATCCAACTAGTGACTCTCCACATGGGAGTTAGTTGCAAGGAGGCTAATGACCATGGCCTTTAGTGTCTATCGCTAGAGCACCTTTTCGGGTTCAGAGGAGTGAGGTTTACCTGCACAGCACTTTACTAGCCGGCCTCTGTTACACATTAGTATGATGTATGCAACACACACCACCATGCTGAGCATTAAATGATCAGATTACACATCCAGTCTACTTTAGTGTGTAATGTTACCGCTATAGCATGAAGAAGATGAGTTTGTTCAAAATTGCGCTGTGATGTCATACGATATGGATTTAAAGGGATAGTTCACCCAAAAATTAATTTACTCACTATTTACTCACCCTAAAGTAGTTCCAAACCATTAGGAGATCACTTCTTCTGTTGAACACAAAAGAAGATATTTTGAAGAATGTTGGAAACCTGTAACCATTAACTTGCATAGTAGGGAAAAAACACTATGGAGGTCAATGGTTACAGGTTTTCAACATTCTTCAAAATATCTTCTTTTGTGTTCAATGAAAAAAAAAAAAGTCAAACAGCTCTGATAGTGATTAAATGACAACATAATTGTCTTTTTTTTGGGTGAACTGTCCTCTTATGCCTTACTAGAGCATAAATGTGCACCAAATAAATCAAGCTTACCATGATTAGATGAACCAAGAATCAGACTCACAAAGCTACACAAATGCTGGTAAAAATTAAAGACAAAACCTATTTGGTTTTTCCACAGGGCAAATGAATCCTACAAATAATAATAATAATAATAATAATAATAATAATAATAAAATAAAAACATTTAGAGTAGGAAAAAAGACCAATAGAAATCTCCTCGGCCACACTTCAGCATTTTCCAAAAGCTTCTTCTGAAAGTATCCGCCATGTTAATATGGTCATCCAGCGCCATCAAAGCTTCATATCTGCAGCGATGTGTTATGAAAGGTTACGTGGGCGCCTTTAATACTCTTACTGGCATGTGGGAACAACAGATTAACTGGTTTTGCTCAGAAGAGTTGGTCTAGACTGGTCAATTTTGGTTTTATACGGTAACACTAGCAACTTTCCCCCCAATGCACAAAGGCGATTTGCACTTCGAAACATCACAGGACAAAGATTATATACTTGAAAGTCTCATAAATATTATTCAGTGCTTTGGCTGAACTTATGAAGCAGGGTTATTTTGAACAAATGTTATAATATATTAATTGAAATCCTAAATCTTTTAGGTTATTTCAGGTAGTTGGCAAGGCTGCATTTATCATTTATTCTTATACTGTTAACGATTTTGTAAATGACACAGTATTTAACTGTAATGTGAATTGTAACATACTGCATAACTGTATTTTAAAGCTGCATTGTGAAAATTACTGT